ATAAAAAAGACTTTTCAAAGAAATAACGAAAAGGTTAGTCGACATCACAGAAGACCGAAGAGCTGGCAGCTACCTCGGACAAAGAATTAGTCTAGCTATTCAAAGAGGGAACGCTGCCAGTATCTTCGGAACTTTGCCTAAAGGGACCCCTTTTAATAATATATTTTAGTTATTGTATTATATTTTTTAAGCTTTTTAATTTTAGGTTGTAGTTGTATAATTAAGTTATGTAAATGATATAATTAGTTTAGTATTGTTGTCTTTAAAATTAAATTTGCATTATTTTATTTATATGTATATATGTATAGATTAAATATATGTATATATTATTTATGAAATAAATCGCTAACGATCATCTGCAAGTTACTGTAAGCAGAGATTAGGCAAGTAAAGGAACTGGAACACCATCTTTGTAGGTGCGGACTGCCGGGCGGTTGTTAAATATTTGCCCGGCAGGACTAAACAGGGCTGCTGCAGGCGACGCCGCGCCCAGCCGGCTAGTATGTCCACAAGTTATGATATAATTACGGACATATAATTAAGGAAAATACACATATAACACTCTGAAAATAGTGAGGTATAAGAGGTACAATCTACTTGCTTAATATGGGACACAGTTATCTAGATACATCAAAATAATAATTGTATTTAATAATGTCTAGTAAGACAATATTGAACTGTGTCACCCCACCTTACATTTTCTTATTATTATTTAGTATATAAGATCATTAGTTCTATGTACATATTGTCAGTTTATTACCATCTGTAATATACATCGTCTCGACCAACAACATCGTTTCATTCACCCGCAACACTTAACAATTTTTTTTCTCACTGAAAAATAGTTAATAGTTTATAATTATAAGTTGAGGTATAATATTTTTTGTATTATTTATTTTATGTGTTATTATATACTTTAAGACCTCCGCTGATGATCAGCGCTGTAGCTTCGGCTATAGCAACATGCTGAGCATTTTTTAGCATAAATTACATAGATAGATATATTTTTTACTTACGGTAAATACACACACACACAAGGCACAGTAATATAAATAACAAAAATAAAAAAAAATGGATCTACAATTACATTGGTCAGTCAACAAAATACAATACAGGTAAACCCCCTCCGATCGATTCCCCGTCCAATTCAAATGGGGATCGAAATTACGACGGCCTGAGCCGAGGTTCGAACCACTAGCGGTGCCCTCAGACTAAAGTCTTATCCGTCAGGCGGGTTGGCCTTCAGCCGCTCCATAAGTCCTTCCTTTGGTTTGGAGTGCCATCTGCACTCGCCCGGTATCGTCCGGTGAATCTATGAAGGCCAGTTGTACATGTTTCTACTATACCATACTTACTACTTTCTACCATACTGAAAAAAATTCATGAAAACATTTGCATGCCAATTATAATTTTGGCGGGACATGTATAAACCTCCAAATAAATAAATAACCCTTACAATTCACACAGCGCCATCTAGTCCTATGATAAGCAGAGTTTGTGTTATGGGTACTAGACGATTGATATACCAAAATACGATTTTTTGTTTATACATCATCGCCATTATCATTACATAGTATAAAACAAAGTCGCTGTCGCTGTCTGTCTGTCGCTTAAATCTTTAAAACTACGCAACGGATTTTGAAGCGATTTTTTTAAATAGATAGAGTGATTCAATAGGAAGGTTTATATATAAAATACATGTACACCCGTGTGAAGCTGGGGTGGGTAGGTAGTTATACGTAAGAAAGAAAAAAAAACACAATACACTTTAACTGTATCAAAAAGAATACATAAAATAATACATAAAGAAAAATATCTTAGGTGCCACAGCGATACGAAATTGTTATTTAATGAACAATACAAGTTTCTTGCTCATTCTTCTTGTAATGAGTCTGCATTCCGAATGAGCGGTAGAATCAAAAAATTTGATTATTAAAATAATCAAGATATAAATATATATATTTCTATCTCTACAATGAATGACTCGATGAGAAAAATTTATTTACGTATTTTCGTATAAAATAAATTTTTAAATAAAACATTCACCCAACAATCTTAATGTTAACAAACGAAATAAATATAGCAGAAATAGTGGTATTTAGATAGAACACTTTGTGCAAAGTGTAGAATTGTGATGTAGTTACATAAAATATGGTCACCCTAGCGCAGAATCCATCAATTGGCTCAATCGTGCGGTAAACACGCGCCGCGGTCACTGCAGCGACGTCGTGCTGATATTACTATCTGCCTGTATGTGCACATATATACATATAAATAAAATTAGAGTGTCTGTTTGTAATATTGAAGTAACCGTTTTTTTTACTACATGCATATGAATATAAATACGGTACATACACCACATTAATTATTTTTGTCTGTCGGTCTGTTTGTTCCGGCTAATCTCTGAAATGGCTGGACCGATTTTGACGGACGTTTTTTGGCAAGTAGCTTATGTAATAAGGAGTAACTTAGGCTACTTTAATAGAATCTGTATTATTGTAAACTTTACAACATTTATTTGAAAAGAATACGAGCTGAATTTCTTGTCAGTTTTTGTCATCTCGAAATCATTCCTGGGTCATTGGGCTCCCTAAAATATGGTCGAGCGCAGTGATGGCTGGTTCATCCGTCATACTCGTCAACGAGTGCTGCTTGTAGGGACTGGTCTGCTCTTATCACTACGACTGATTTAATCTTATTGTATATTTATATTTGACACAAAAAAATTGTGCTGGTTGGTAGTTTGTATTCACACGTTTCGACTTGTAAATGTAACCTTATAAGAATTATTTAAAAGAGCAACACACAAGTTTCTTGCACGTTCTTCTTGTGATGAGACAGCTTTCCGAACGAGCGGTAGATAAAAAAAATTGTTATGACTATTCAAAAGTGCTTAAATTAAGTTTATTTGAATAATTTATTTTTCAAATAAACTTAATTTAAGCACTATTTTATTCTATTCCGAACTGACGGAGTCTGTAATAGACCTACAGGAATAAAGATATTTAGAATTTGAATTTTTTGAATAGAACTGAGTTTGTTAAACATAGCTGGGAGTATATCAGAACTGGTTGATACCTAGGTGTTTAGCTGGGAGCATGTCAGGACGGCCGGCGGGGGCGTGGTTGAGAGGCGGGGTCGAAGTCCTTTCGGTGCTCCCTGAACACCCCGATATATCTATATATTCACGACTTATATCTCATAATGGGGTAGTAGATATGTTGTAAATTCAAATTTAAAAATCATTTATTCATGTAGGACATTTTAGCCGCTTATGAACGTCAAATTTTTATATTATAATTTTTTTCCTACCGTCCAATTCAGTATATAGATTCAATTGAGAACAACTGGCAGGCAACTCAATTGAATTACTTTTTTTTTAAAAAAACTAGTTTATATACATACATATATATTTATATAGGTGTCTATGTCTAACATTAAATGAAATTCCCGTACATGAACAACTATTGCCATACACGCTCGTCATTCAAGTAATCGTTTAGTGAGTAATAGGTTTTGCTTTATACATGAATTTAACGTGTCGGAACATTAAATTCATATATAAAGCAAAACCTATGCTAAGCTAGTTCTAAAGTTAAGAATTAGTTTTGGTTTGTTAACAGTGTTTCCATTACCGGCTATTTATTAAGTTACGTTTGTTTCCTTAGGCTGTACCTTAGCCTAATGAAACAATCAGAAGTATAAATGGATAACTAAAGTTTTTTAATATTGACAATATTAGAAATAGTTACAAGTTTGGAAAATTAACTATTGGATTACGAAACTTACGAGAGATATATATAACAATAATCTCAGGACAATTCATACAGCGCCATCTAGACTCAAGTAAAGCTAGTATTATCGGTACTAGATAACTGATACATAGTTTTTTTTGTAAATACATAGCTACATGTTATACATAAACAACACCCAGACCGATACAAACAATCATACTCATGAGTACAAATGTTTGTGCCGTGCGAGGAATCGAACCCGCGACCATCGGAAGTAAGGCGGTGTGCTAAATCGCTAGACCACCGAGGTCGCCAAATATTACAATAATTGTAATATTTAATGTTTGTTTTATTTCCAATCGGTTTACAAGCAAAAAAGTTATAGCTACAGGCTACAGCAGTCGTGGTCATAAGTAGTCTGATATAGGTACCTATTAATAGTTATATTGAATATAGCTAAGTTACTTTATATATTAAAACATTCGGGTTACGAACACTTTTGTTTTTGCACTGCAGTGCTTAGTGGTCTCTCTATTCTCCCAAATTTGAATTTAAAAATGTATCTGTATTATTGTAAACTTTACAACATTTATTAGAAAAGAATACGAGCTGAGTTTCTTGTCAGTTCTTCACATCTCGAAATCATTCCGAACTGACGGTAGATTTGACATATCATAAGTAATAGACCTATATGAATAATTTTATTTAAAAATTTTGATTTATTTAGAATTATATGAATAAAAAAAAATGTTAAAGATCATAAAAAAGTAATCGTCATTCCGGTAATGATTCGAGCGACGACGCGAGAACAAATTTGTCAAGTATAACATCAGCCAATTTATTGTATGGCACCAAACATCTGGCGGTGTTTAAAAACACTGCTAGTAATTATAGCTGCGACCCACCAATATTAAACATTAAACAGCGTATCAGCCACACTAAATAACTCGCAAACAACGCGTGAAATATTACATAAAAAAATAATGTTTACGCTCCATGACATGTCGTTTTAATTCACCTTTTTATCATAGTGCAACCCTATCAAAAACCCTGAACACATTCTTCCGAGCACCACATAACCTGTCCATCAACTCTCGTAACCAACCAAGCTATTATCGTCTTTATGTCGTAGATATTATAGCGGACACGGCAGCAGAGTTTACTTTGTCGCATCACACGTACAATAGGAGGGGTTCGATGTCTGGGCGTTTCACAAAGGCGGGGCCTCGGTCGGGTGTCGACACGGCAGGTCAGTAGTGAGCGGGCGGCGCGCCATGCCGCACCACTATGAGTCCACCGCACAGTTTTGCAATACGAGACCTGCTCCCAGAAGCTTCGTCCAGGTCCCCGTCGCCGTCCGACACGGAACTCGACGTCACCGGCACGGAGACTCCCCCGCCCGGCTCCTCCAACCAAGCGAGCGACGAGAAGAAAAAGAACGAGAAGCCGGCGTACAGCTACAACGCCCTCATCATGATGGCGATACGCAGCAGCCCCGAGAAGAGGCTGACTTTAAACGGCATTTACGAGTACATCATGAAAAATTTCCCGTACTACAAAGAAAATAAACAGGGCTGGCAAAATTCGATACGGCACAACCTGAGTCTGAACAAGTGTTTCGTTAAAGTACCCAGGCATTACGACGATCCAGGGAAAGGGAACTACTGGATGTTGGATCCATCGTCGGACGACGTGTTCATTGGTGGCACGACGGGGAAGTTGAGGAGGCGGTCCACGGCGGCGTCGAGGTCTCGGCTGGCGGCGTTCAAACGCGGTGCAATACTGCATCCCATGTTTGGGAACCCATACGCGTCTTTAGTGGGCTTATACCCGCCTCTACTGTCAGTGTACGGGAGGTATGCGCTGCCCAGTCCGTTGTTGAGGCTGCCACCGCCGCCTCCTAGTCCGTACCACCAGCTCTACAGAAGGATACAAGGCCTCGCGCCGTCGGTGAGCCCTCCGACCGCAGACCCCGATTCTCATCTGGTGAAGCACAGTTGATAGAAACGTTTAGTTTCATGGCTTCTAGAGGGGTATTTGGTGATATCCCCTTGAAGACTAGGTCAGTAGGACTTGTGTTGTGTTGGAGAGGTGACAAACTGTGATAGGTACGTGGACGCTTGTGTATTATATTGTAATAAGTATCTGTAAAAAGTGCTAATACTATTTATGATTATCCTTAAGATATTTAATGAATTTAATTAAGACATAATATAAATATAATGGAGAAAATAAACCAATTTACAAGCTGCTCGCTTGAAACATATTATGTGATTTTTATTCTTACAAATAAGATCCGTTTAAGTATCTGTTTATTCAACTGTGAAATAAGGGATTATATATATTTTTAACTCGTGAACCTATAATAAGAATCGTTTAGGTAAATTTAGATCTATCTTTATCCAACACTGAAATAAGAGGGTAATGCTTTTCATGTACATATTGTAACACGAATTCGTTTACGCAACATACCTATACCTTTTGCATTTTATTAAATGAATAATTAGTATAGTTTAGTCAAATATAGTGACCAAAGATAAAGGTATATGATAGTGTTAAATGAGAGATCACATCAGATCACAAACCGTTCATAAGTCTGCATCATTCTACATCATCAGGTATCTCCCAATTAATTTAAGTCGACACTTTTATATACACGTATATTTTAGCTTTTTCATTTTCATCAACATTTTTACGGAAGAGTTCGCATTTTGTATAGGAACTGGAAAAGAATATTATTCATGTAATTCTAGAATAGTAAAGAAGCTTACGGCCAACCAGACAGAACTTGGTAAGAGTACCGCAGACCTCACAAAACAAAGGGCGCCCTTCGCCCTTTTTTTGTGAGGTCTGGTCTTTTTCTGTGGTATTCAGTGATGTGGACTAATGATCCCATTGCTAGCAATGCACCATGTCCGGTCGACCTCCACGCGGTTCCCCCTGGAAACCATCGTGGTAAATTCCCTGTGAATTTGTCACAATGTGCTAACTAAACTGACTTCATGCTCATCATCCTCCACTGGTGCTCTGCCTGCGTATACAGTTAGCACATGCGGACGCACAATTCCATTATCATACACTAAAAGACCTCACAAAATACGTTGGTACTACTAGTTTCCTGTGGACTGAGCTAGTCGACGGCAGAAATATCTGAGATTAAGGTTTCTAAAAGTTTAAATGATTGATTTTATCATATCTACTAAGTCAGAAACGTTATCAATGCTAATAGTAATACAGTTTGTTTGTTTGATCGAACTATTCTCAGGAATAACTGAAATTGAATTGAAAAATGATTTAACTATTGGATAGCCTATTTATTGATTAAGGCAAAATAACATCACGCTACGACCAATAGGAGTGGGACATCTATTAAAAATTGCAAAAATTCGGTGAAATTGCGTCGGTCGGCTTGTACTTTTATAAGTAGACATTGCAACAGTTTATTGTATGTCTTTAGATAATAATGATAGTTAAATACAGCCAGAAATAGACAGTATAGTTATCTTTACAAGTTAGAATAGAATGGAATAGAATAGAAAATCATTTATTCAAATAAACTTACATTGAAGCACTTTTGAATAGTCATTACATTTTTTAATCTACAGCAAGTATAAAACAAAGTCGACGTTGCCGTCTGTTCGTATATATCTATTAAATTACGCAACGCATTTTAATGCAGTTTACAGCAATAGATAGAGTGATTCAAGAGGTAGGTTTATATATAATATTTGCATATTATAGTATAGATCTATCTACTCGCCCCGGCTTCGCCCGGGTGTACATGTATTATACATATAAACCTTCCTCTTGAATCACTCTATCCGTTCAAAATTCGGTGCGTAGTTTTAAAGATTTAAGCATACATATGGACGGACAGACAGCGACTGCGACTTTGTTTTATACTATGTAATGATATAAACTTGACGCGGTCATTATTTATACATATTATTAGTAAAAATCACGGGATCTTACCACGTTTTATATTTATTTGCTGAGTTCCCGATATTTCGGTAGTGTTTCAAACACCATGAGTTCAGTTTACCCGTGATCATGGTGGTTGAAACACTGCCGAAATATTGGGAACTCAGCAAATAAATATATAACGTGATAAGATCCCGTGATTTTTACTAATTATACATATATGTAATGATAAGCAGAGAAATTCAAAGATTTGTAATAGAAGTGCGAAGCTAAGACGCGTCGCTTTTGGGAATAAATTAAGCTATTCTATTATACAAAGTAGACATTAATAACTGAAATAAATATTAGAATTATATATGTAATAGCTTCATAACTTGTTATTGAATATATTATTGGTTTATTACAATTAAAACGTTTTGAATTAAGTCATAAATAACTAGATTGAAGTTCTTACGTCCATTTTTTTAAATATACTGTATTTTTTTAATCTACCACTCATTCGGAAAGCTGTCTCATCACAAGAAGAACGAACAAGAAACTTGTGTGTTGCTCTTTTAAATAATCCTTAGATCAAATTGCACATAATGTGCAAATCAAATTTGCAATCGGTTCAGTAATGTCCATCGCAGACAAACAACGTGACACGTAATTTTATATATAAAGATAGTGACAACGCAAGAAGATTAAAAACTAACTTTGCATTTATTTAATTAAAAATGTATGTACGTAAAATTGTATACAATTTGTAGTTAAACCACCTTTACTTAGATCTCTAAGATATATCTAATAGATAACGTTAATCTAATTAATAAACCGACAGATAAGAGTGTACCTATATAAAACGTGTTCCACTAAAAGCAATCGGACATATCTACCAACTGTAATCTTAACATTCGAAATAAGTCACTGAAGTTGATATGGAACATGTTAATGTATACTAATCATTACATAGTATAAAACAAAGTCGCTGTCGCTGTCTGTCCGTACCTATGTATGCTTAAATATTTAAGAAATAGAAATAGAAATAGAAATAATCTTTATTCAAATAAACTCATTACAAGCACTTTTGAATAGTCATATTTTGATTCTACCACTCATTCGGAATGCAGATTCATCACAAGAAGAATGAGCAAGAAACTTGTGTGTTGCTCTTTTTAATAGATTTTTTTTTTTATATAAATAATTACAGTGTAACAAGTAAGAGGCATGCGACAATCAACATAGAAATCGCTACGCACTCATTATTAGTGTAATCAGATAATATTGTCAGTGCTATGTATTTAAAATTTTTCTACAAAAACATTATTATCGTTAACGAATTCTTCAATTTTATAGTAAGCTTTTTTTGCAAAGGAAGTGTTTTATTTGACATTTAAATCTTTTTTCTGGCAGATTTATAACAGACTCTGGTATTTTATTGTAAAACCTTACGCAATTGCCATAAAACGAATTACTAACTTTAGCCAAACGACATCTAGGTAAAATCAGTTTGTTATTGTTACGTAAGCTTGTATTAGTGCAATCACTAACTCTTTTGAAACTGTATATATTTAAAATTACGCAACGGATTTTGAAGCGGTTTTTAATAGATAGAGTGATTTAAGAGGAAGGTTTATATGTATAATACATGTACACCCGTGCGAACCCGGGGCGAGAAGCTAGTTACATAGTATAAAACAAAGTCGCTGTCGCTGTCTGTCCGTACCCATGTATGCTTAAATCTTTAAAACTACGCAACGGATTTTGAAGCGGTTTCTTTTAATAGATAGAGTGATTCAAGAGGAAGGCTTACATGTACAATCGAGCGAAGCCAGTAGCTAGTAGCTAGTTAAAATAATATTAATAAATAAATAAAATATAAAAACAAAACAAATTTTTACCTAACAAAATGATTTTACCTGGCTGTTCCCTTTCAGTTTAGGTAGGTAGGTACTGCACGCGTCTGCACACGATAATATCTATACATTGGCAAAAACAACATCATTACCTGCTCCATTTGCCTCCAGTGCACCAGACAGAAAGACGGCGTAATTACACATAATCGATGTACGGAAAATATCGGATTTCTATTCGATTGTATTATGAGCAAATATTTTAAAACACGCGTAACTCGATATATGGTTGTTGGGTGATACGATAATTATGGCAAACAATGATTTGTTATCAGATTTGTTTGTTCATGCATGTACGTTCGTTGGTCATGCAACTTGTGTAAAAACTTATTTAAGATCAACTGTACACGCGACTTCATCCGCGTGGAATTTAACTTTATTTTTCTAAAATAAAAGTCGCCTAAGTTACTCCTTATTACATCAGCTACCTGCCCAAAACGTAGCGTTAAAATCGGTCCAGCTACTTCAGAGATTACCTGGACCAAACAGACAGACAGACAAAAATTTTAAAAAATGTTATTTTGGTATATGTACCGTATTTACATTCATATGCATGTAGTAAAAAACGGTTATTTCAATATTACATCAGACACTCCAATTTTGTTTATATGTATAGATGTATAGATACTCTTTCTATGTTTAGGTATCATATGGTTTTCCTTTGGATCGTTGGAGTTCGATTTCAGACTACTACTAATCACAAAATCTTAACAATATTATAAATCCGAAAGTTGAGTATGAATAGATATTTGTTACTCTTTCACGCAGAAACTACTCAACTGATTTTAATGAAGCTTTACAGTAATATAGCTTTTTACCAAGACTAATTCTGAGGAGATCCCCTGACCACAACCAGGACCAAACAGTGACCGTAGAAGGTAATCACCTCTGGCCGTATACTCCGTCAGTCTGAAAATACTGGTTAAGTTGCCAGTAGACTTTTAGTAAGATGTGACTATGTCACAGGAGGGTGGGATGTTACTGGCAGCTTGTCTACCATTCTTTTTATAAATTTTATATTTTTTATATCTATTTTTTAGAAATAGAAATAGAAATAGAAATAATCTTTATTCAAATAAACTCATTACAAGCACTTTTGAATAGTCATATTTTGATTCTACCAATCATTCGGAATGCAGATTCATCACAAGAAGAATGAGCAAGAAACTTGTGTGTTGCTCTTTTTAATAGATGTTTTTTTATACGTCACTTTTAACTATCTATATTGTTTTGTTACTTCTTGTTGTGAGCCCTTTTGGGAAGAATAAACATTTTTACTAGTATTTGGTTTTTATTAAAATAGTAGTTGTGTTCCCGCTCCAGTAACAAGCTTATACATCAGAATAACATATAGGCTATAAATTTCACGCGGGTGAAATCGCGAGCACAACTAGTATAATATAATTCCACAATGGAGCATACTATATACCTGCGCATGCGCATGAATAGAAAC